GGGGGGGTACAAAGACAATAACACGATTTCGGAAGTGACGAAAATGTTTGATTACGCATTCGCCGTGTACGCGCACGCCATATCATACACGGGTATAGGTAGGTATATACCATTATTATTATTTACGGTATTATATTATTATTGTATGATGTGTGCACATTATATTTATTGCTATATTATTATCTTCTTCGCCGTCGTCGTCGTCGTCGTAATATGGGACGACCGTAGAGGTACCTGCAGCAGTATTATTCTTTTTAGACTCGAACGCGCGTGCGACATATAGCTGATGATGTCAGCGGTGGAGGTGGCGGCACGTCGGTTCGCCTCCATTGTATGCTAATCGTCGCGTATTATTGCATTGTCTTTGCGACGACGACGGAGAAACGTTTGCCGGTCGCGTCCGACTGTTGTACGCGTTTTCGGCAAACGAAAGCGGGGGGAAACCCGCGGCGCACATGGGCGACCGTCGGCCGTACTCCTAATGAGCGAACGATTACGCCGGCGCAAGTCGTGGTGGTGGTGGTGGGGGGGGGAGGAGGCGAGGAGGAGAATTTTGAGCGGAAAAAAACAAATTAAACGAAAAGAAAACGGGTCAAGAGTTCCACACTTCCCGTCTCGTGTCAACAGTGCTGCAGCATAGAACGCTGGTAACGGATAGCTGGCCAAATAATATGCGCATAGACCATTATATTATATTATACAGGGTAAACAACAGTTTGCGCTTAACCCCCGTTTTTCATTTCGGAGTTGAATAATATTAGTCTGGATTGGAATTTTCCATTGATAAATTGACGAGTTTCATCAGTAAACCGCATAGTTGGGTCTTGGGTGAACATTTAATTTAGTCGAGTATAATTTGTTTAGTATTTATGATATTACGTGATAATCAACTTATAGTGACGTTATTATGAATTTGACCATGCCATATTGGAATATCCACTGAAAAGAAAAAATTATTTGAAAAAGTAAAAAGAACAAATTTTTCCCTGGAGGGGGGGGGGACTTCACCTCAGACCCCCACTTTTTTTTCAAATTGTGTCCATTTGTTCTTAGCATATACTATTTTATAGTTCTTGTCAGTATAACATGGATTTTGTGATCGAAATTTATTTAAAATCACGAACTGTCACGCATTTGTAAACAATAACAGTATAGACTAAATGTTAATGAAATTTAATGGATTATTATCATATTTTGGTCATTACTAAACCATAGTCTGCGTCACATAATATTATATTTTATGCTTTAGACTAAAACAAAACAGTTAATATAGTTAAGAGACCAACTGTCTGGCGATCGTCATCGCAATCAATGTTTAAATTAGGTAATAATATTATTTAAATATATTATAATCGATGCAAAAATAACGATTACATATAGTTTTATAATAATAGGTATACATTGATTTCAATCTTAAATCATATAATTTTCATTTCATTTATATGAATTTCAATACCACGCTGCCCGTCTGTTTTATTATTGTGAGACAAGTATTTATTGCATTCTGTATTCCCGTATTATTATCATTATTATTATTATTATTATTATTATTGTAGAGAATAAAACTATGTCGTTTGCGATCTTGAATACCAATAATTTCATCGATGCATAAATAGAGAAAAATGTGTTGAATTTAATAAATTTCGATGTAAGTAATGTTATTATTATTATTACTCACGGGCGATGAGATAAATATCGAAGATCAATAATTATTATTCATCATTATCTTCAATTACTGTTATTGTTGTTGTGCTGTTGTGCGTTTTACGATTTTTTGCGATCGTGTTGTCGTCTTTACCGGGTACGTACACAAAAACAAATTTTAGGGTGAGCGTAATTACCCCTCTCCACATTCCGGTTATAAGACGTCATAATAACAAATTAAAAGTTACAATATCTATCGTTAAAAAATGTTTTCGTATAAAATTTAAGTGAAAAGGGTAGGAGGGGGAAACAAAAATACATAATATACATAGCTATAGGTAGGTAGGTATGTGTTTGTTTTGTTTGCTGGGTGTAATATTTAGTATGAGTTTTTGCGGGTTAACTGTTTTTATTACAAATCGGCATACCACATGATTTAGGTTTTAAAAAACATGTGTTTACCGTACGAATTATTATGATTAAAAATTAATTTTTAGTATATTATTACACAGATTATTAGCATTAATAATGAATTAACATAAGCGCTACAAAATATAGTTTAAAATAATTTTTAATTCGAACGTTAGTATTAATAGCTGGTACCTATACACCTACGTGCAGCTTAGTAATAAGAATAATAGTGTTATTATTATTCAGTTTATTTTACTATTTTACAATCTTGCGGATATATTTTTTCAAATATCGTGTGTTTTATTAAAAAATATATATTATTATAATTTTTCTATGTCGTTTATCAAATGAAAAAACAACAAAATGACTAAGTATATTATAATATTGGTAGGTATACATTTATATCATAAAATATTATCTTATATGAAATGAGTATTTTCTTATCAACACTTCAACAATTAAAATTAATTTCAACCGGCCCCTAAAATAGCCCAGACACTCCAGGTTCATCCTCTCACCCTTTGTGGTGACTCTTTGTCATTACATTAGGTATTATGATTAATTTTTACGATAATATTACCACGAGGTTAAAACTACATAAATATTTTATTGTGTACCTATTATATATGATATAAAAATATATTATATAGTGTTAATTGTATGTATTAACAATCATAAAACATCAGTCTGCATAGTTGTAGTCAACAATTCTTGTCAAACAATATTTCCTGAAAGTAAAAACTACAAAACTGTAGTGCAGCAGTATAGTAAGTTCATTGGTATAGGTCGTGACCATGATAATATAATACGCGTACGATATATTATTATTATTTTGCATTTATACATTATTCATTCGGCCAGTGAATATTGTCGTATAATATTATATAGGTATAGACAGTCCGTGTAATATATAATATTGCTGGCGAAGAAAATGCGCCCAAAATTAAAATTGTAATAATGCAAAGCCGTTATTATGTATATATACAAACAGGGTGTCACAGAAAGATATGACTAAACGTAATAGCTTGTGTTCTAACTTCTAATCAATGTTTATACATTTTTTCATATAATTAATAGACGCGTGTACGTATATTACTGTATATTAATTGTATAGAAAAAAAAATTATAAAAATTAATTAAAACACAAGTTATTTCATTTATCATATATTTCTGTTACACTCCGTATATGCGTATATATATATAATGCAGGACCTCTGTGCGCACTCGAATCGCGCGTTCTAATAAATTATTATAATTTATTTTTCCCGTTCCTCTAAAAGAAGTCTTCTCATATTCACGTGTTTTTATTTTTTTCTACGACCCAAGCTCGACGCCGGCCAAGTCGTTAAAAACCTTTTACAATTTTGAGGAAAGCGGCGGCGGTGGTTAGGATCTTGTAATAATTGTCCAAATGAAAAATACCAACAGCGTGACCGACTTATATGTGATGGGAAGGTTATATATATATATATATATATATATAGAATAAAATAGCCGAGAACCTTACCTATATAGGTCACGCAGCGGAAAAAAACAAAACACGCGTTTGTCTCAAACGTTTTGTACGTCGTTTACTCACTCCTCGCCGCGAGTATAAAATCAAAAACGCTACACGTACCGAAAGCGTTCGGCGTGACAATAGAATATTTTATATTTTTCCGAGTTTGTTGTGCACGAAAACCAGAGATTTAAAGCAATCGAAATGTTGCAGAGGGATATAATGTATATATATATATAAAACATCGAAAAATACGTGTTTGCGATAAGGCCTGCAAGCCGTAGTATCGTCATTAAAATTATTATTATTATTATTATTATTATTGGAAATATTTGTGAGTGTTAACGTGGTTCTGGGAACCAATACTTACGGTGTAGGTATACTATATGGAGCGGATTTCTCGCGGAAATAAATCGAAAAAAGTTCGTCGAAAATAACACGGTTACGACCTATATATTACAGCGGGCAAATCGCAAGGGTGCTAACTATGTGAGGGCGCCGATATCACTCTGTTGCAGAATTCCATAGAGCACCAACTAATTTCAAAACATTTTTATGGGAAATTTCGAAATCGGAGGCTCCTTAAAGTCAGCAGGAGTTTGTGCTGCTGGTGTGACGTACCATCTATAATAATGTAAGCTTGTCTGATTCTGTAATACGACAAACATAGAAGAGTACTGGTGAATGGAAAATTGTGCTTATCCTGTTAATCTGCTGTCTTCATGCTGTGTCCATGCTATATTCGTCCTGTATTCCTATATTTATCCTGTAAAATTAAAGTGTTATACTACTTATAACAGTTTACAAGATATGCATAAGCTATTTTTTTATTAAATGCATGATATTTTTGTTCGATGAATTATGTATATTGTTGGCGATAAAACACAAATCGTAATTATTTACAAATCACTTGTTAGTTATTCAATTAACTGGTAGGTATATAACATAAAATAATTTTCAAAATTTAAAAAAGTTGAATTAAATTAAACCCGATTGTCTATAATAACGGTTAATCAACTAAAATGCCGATCCACAGTATTAAATAGTAAAATAATTACAAGCTCCCAAAAAGATATCTAAAAGATAAATATCAAATAAAGTTATGCTAAGAATGGTTAATAATGATTATGCTAAAGGCACGAGTGCCAGATGAAATAGTTAAAATTGCATACATGTAGCTTTAAACTCATATTTCTCGTTATGAGCATAATAAAGCATAAAAATAAGTGAACAATACAAGAAAAAATATCTTCACTGTATAGAATATACGAATGTCGGGGGATCACATGAACGATCATTATTTATATTTTACGAACTTTAAACTTAGCCAATAAAATATGATATGTACACATTGTTTTGTATTGCACTAATAAAATTAAGTGGAAGAATTTAACGCTTAACGTCTTCAGACATGACACGACCAGAGATACTTGAACGTAATAGTATTTCGGTGTGGTCTCTTAGCAATAATTCTCACCTTCGTGTGACGTATACAATGTGCGAGGATTATCACCGATCATTATTAATCGCCAGCAGTCATGGTTTTCCTCTCCATCCAACTGATTTTCCACGTCTCCGAGAGAACTATGGCCGTGTAAGAACTTGGACGGTGACCTGGAAAGTCGATAAAAGTCGCGGTCAGTGGAAACGGAATAAGACGTTGGAATCAGTGAGATGTCCGTTTTAGGGCTCAAATTTGACGACTCGTAATTTTTTATATACTTGTATTATTATTGACCCCACATTATATATACGAGTACACGCACTTCATATACATAATACACACACACACGTTCACATATTACATATATATATAAACATGATATTATTATACATGTATATCGGGCCGAGGGAAATGAGTTTTTTATCGTCCGTTTCATTTCGCGCGCGTACAAACATTGCAGCAGTCGGAATCGAGTTCGACGACCGTGAAATTTCGACTGTAAAAAAATAAGGTTTTCCGACGTTCCGTTCTGCCGCGAGCCTCACCCCTCGGGCCGGAAGACCTATATATATATATTTTGAGGAAAAAAAAATAGGAAATCATCTCGGTCGTACACGCGCGGACCGCGGTATTCAAAGCGATTCAATTAATTTCTCCTCCGGGAACCCGACAAGTCGTGCGTGCCTACCGCGTGCGACAAAACGTCGTCGTCGTCGGTGAGTTTCTCTCCGTTTCGCTGCTGTACGTACGGAGCCGAGGCGCGTGCGAATCAAGTGGCGTGTGACTGCCGCCGCGCAGGGAGGGTCTGGATTTTTTTTATTTCGAACGGATTTTTTTTTTTTGTCCAAAGGTCTGCGGAGCGTTTTTTTTTTTTTTCAACTTTTTTTTACTCCTCGCGGACGTGTCGTGCGCGAAACGACAAACCCGCGGAGCGATGATAATGCCGCTCGCGGGACCCACGCGAGTATACGTTATTATTATATATTGTATACGCGACGAGCGGAGACTCGAGCGAGACGCACACACTCGCAAAAAATACAAAAAAAAAAAAACCCAGCAGACAATTTTCTAAGTCAGTGAATCCTAAGTCTGCGGTCTCGGAACATTTCTGACAACTCATCACCAGCTAAATCCAATCTCGCGGCGGCGAAAACCGCACACGCTAGACGGCGGCGTAACCTACGCGATTTTCGGTTATCCGTTTTGACCCCGCGTACCTATACATGCCTCTATATTATATACGACGAAAACGACGACGTTATACAATATAATAATATTCATTCATCATCGCAACGATAATAATATTCCATATATTATTATTTATTGTGACTTATAACATCATGCTGCTGCAGGTATGACGCACACAGTTTGCTGTCTTGTCTCTTGCACGTGTACGTCGAGGAAATAAATAGAAAACGAGATAGTCGAGAATATACAGTTAGAGCCTTACACTGCCTGAATTCGGGTTTTTTTATTTTTGAGTTAAGTTTTTTTAATAAAACATTCCAAAAATAAACATAATAACATTGCCCTAACCTATTAATATTTTAGTCGGTTTTGTTTTATTTCACCTTCTACTAGTAGCTGCTGGTACAACTCTCTGAGAATGAGTGCTGATTTAGGAGACAAATAGACAATGTCACAACATTATAAAAGTCACGTCTGTTGTTCACACGTTGATGGTCGGTTAATACTTAAAAAAGTTTAAGTAGTTGATAAAGATTGTATAAGGGTTGTGGTTTTCTGATACCTACAGGTTGCATGTTATGAGTATTTGTGATAGGGCTTAGCGTTTTTCGGCGTCTCGTTGCGATGGCGCGAATGTTTGAAAGTCGATTTTGAGTTCCTAGAAATTTTACGTGGCCCGTAGAATAATACGTTATTATTGTAACTCTTTTTCGGAGTATACTAAATTAATTTAGAATCACGTTCATTGAATCAACTGAATATTTTAACTGTTTATAGAATTGACTAAATGTTTCTATTACCTGTAACTATGTACATTCAAAATTCAAATACGTCTCTATAAATTAACCTGTTATACTACAAATACTTTTATTTTTTTTTTCATTACATAATCGACCGTGGAGATATAGTCCATTGGGTGATAATTTTTGGTAGGTGTTTAACTATGGGGCAAGGTAGGGTTGGTTAGAACACGTGTATATGTGCGAGGATTTGTCTCAAGAAATCGGGTCACCCATCCGGGGACTAGTGGCACCGGTTGGTGCTTGGTTTCAGAACACTTTACTGTAACTAGAGTCATCCACCGAGCTTCACCAGGCCACCAAATAATATATTATTGTTATTTCAACCGTCTTCCTTCTCAAACTGCTGCTGAAATCGATCGTAAAGCGCATTGATTGTTGTTTGAACGCTATCGCGTGGTATCTATGCGCTTGTCGTATTTTAAAAAATCTCGATAAATTTTGACTTCTGGCAACACCCCCCGCCGATCGAGCATTTGTATTATATGGTTTTTCAACGTTGAAACGACTAGGGTGGTTTTCGTCTCGTCGCTGCAAAATATTATAATAATATATGGTCATCACGTATAACTTAAAAACAAACAAATCGGCATAATATTATAACGCTATCGTGTTGATGGAACCCTTCGTCAGTACTGGATAAGTACATACCTATTGTGGATTTAAATCAAACGAAAAACTAGTACTGGTGATGTACTATTTTGCGGCATAGAAGCTTATTAGTATTCGTATAGCGAACATAAAATATAATATATTAATTAAGAATTTTATTGAACACGTATAATGTATATACAAGCGTCTGCTACAAGTGGATACAACAAGCATTTAGAAAAATCCAAAGTTGACAAACTGGAATAAAAAAAAAAAATACATTTAATTGGTAAGATAGCTGCTGCTATGTTTAGTTGATTGGTTGGTAAAGAAATTGAATCATATTTAAAATTATATTACGCAGAACTATTAATAAATTCTTACACTAAAAATAAAAATACTAATCTTATATTATTATAATATTATGCAATACAATATTAATTAAGTCTATCTTTATGTAGTGAAGTTTATATAATTAACTGGTATGTACTATAGACCTTTTTTGTTAATCAATATGTTTTATAAAATCAAAAATTAAAATATTTATTATATTATGTGAGATAGACGATAGTACACTATATGGGTGCTAAACTGTTACCATGGGTTTCTGATTTAATACTATTCTTTTAGAAAGATAACATAATACAATTTTGGATCAAACTATTGAACTATTGGAGGTTTTAGTAGTTGAATTTTATGAGTGAAATAGTCCCCAACGCAATCATTTTTTTTTTAAGAGTTGTATCGTTTATTGTATTTTGAATTGATACATTCATAAATTATATTTATGTATAAGACAGGGGCGGACTGGGGCAACATTTTGGCCCGGGAAATCTATATTTTGACCCGGCCCTTGCCATTTCTTGTCATCACAAAAATGTAAAAACTTAAATATACCAACGTTTTATTCAATGAGGAATGCAGCCTCTACACATTTTCAATTTTCCCAGAAAAGAACTTAAGATTTTTTTTTTCATTAATTGCTTATGGCATCAACTAAGAGGTTATTTGCCAGGGGTTTTTGGGACTGTTGGGTTAATTCGGAACTCGTGTGAAACTTAAGATTTGTTAAACTAAACTTACCAAATAGTTTCAATATGTAATTTTAATTTTGTTTAATATTAATGAAGTACTTCACAAATAAATAATATATTGGTAAAAGTCATTCAATCGTAACATAATACTATTTAATACCTTATGTAAAAATATAAAATATTATGACACTTATATTGTAGTATATTAACTTTTATTAGTTATAACTAGAGTTAGGATGTTGATGACTTTTGCATTTTTTTTCCTTTTATTCTGTACAATGCTATCCTAGCTAAAAATTTGTTTCATGCTCCCTTGATGCAGAATATTCTAATTTTATTTTGCATTTTTTTGCATTTTTTGCATTTTCAGCTATAAATGCATTTTTTTTGTTTTTAACGTCATTTTTCAACATTTTTAAGTCATTTTTTCATCTTTTAGAGCATTTTTTACAAATTATAGATTTTAGGGCAAATGTTACACCCAAGTTTGGAAACAAATTTAATTTATTTAAAATCTAACTTTGGATTTGGACTATTAGTAAAAAATAATTTTAATATTATTATTGTGGGGTTTTTGTTATGATTACATTTATCGCGTTCCGATAAGATTTACTCTTCGAGTGTTATGTATTGAATTATTTAAATGCTTAATATATTTATAATTCATATTTTAAATTACTATTACACCCATTATTATACCCATATCTCTAATAAAAATTATTATTTATAAATAAGTTTTTTCACTTACTTAATTAGTATTTTAGATAATTTTTAAGGTCATTTTTTGAAGTTTTCAGAGCATTTTTGTACTTTTTTTGCATTTTTTTTAGGGCATTTTTGTGTGTTTTTTAGGTCATCAACATCCTAACATTCCTAACTCTATTTATAATTAGATTTAACTCATTTTTCCTTTGGAAATAAATTATATTCATATTGCATACCTATTATTTATTATTCAAATTATTGATCATACGCAAACTCCTGATGGAGTATCAGCCAAACCAAAACCTAAAATCTAATTTTAAACACCAAATGTAAACAATTTTTCATACACGTGCGTAATGATAATATGAAAATATAAAATATTCATCATTTGAATTTATACCTATTGGCTATTTTATTTTAAGTAATAAGTTATGTAATAATAACAAATTATTTTTGAACAGCGGCCCACCGGGAAAGTTCCCGGTTTCCCGCCGGCCCAGTCCGCCCCTGGTATAAGACAATTTATTTGAAAAGTATTGAAAAGTATTTCTAAATATTATGAATATTATGAATATTTAGAAGTATACAAAAATATAATCATGAATATTAAAGTAACAGTTTTATATTTAGAAATATTTTTAAAGTATATTTTATATTTAATAAAAATGTACATGTCATATTTATTTATTATTATGCGTCCTTACACCTTGGCCATTAGCGCCATCACACATTTGCTCATACGTTTGTATTCTTCGTGTATACATTGTTAACATCGCATGCTAAATATAAAATAAAATGTTTACATTTTAATAATATACAAAATTACATAAATTGGATACGTTTACATAATACATAATACGCACACACACACATAACACACTAGGTGAAAAGATGCAAAATA